GTACAAAGCAGTGAAAATCATTAATAGGCAATCGTTCGATGGGCTGAATTGCACAAAACGCATGGTTGCACCGGCTAGTCTAGTGCACGTTGCTGTTTGTTTTTGTTTGATCCCGAATGTGAAATTAGTGAAAGGGCCACCGGATGAAGTAGTGGGTGTGTGCGGTATGCAGTGCTGCGCTGAGCAGTGGTGTGTGCGGTGTGCACTGACCAAGACCGGTTGCTTTGTAACTGACGGTTAGTTTTTGCGCCATATTTTGGCGCAGTCTAGGCCGGATGTGAAAATGAAGAAACCGTGACGCTTAAACGAATCTGTACTGGGGATCCTATGCGCAAGGGCTTAGACGGGTCCAAGCGTTTGCGCTGAAAACTTGGCATTTTTTCGGGAAAGCAAACAAGAGATCGGGAAATTCACCTGTTGGGGTGGACGAAACCCATAGGTTGATGTTTTTGCGTGGTCGTACGCAATGCAAGGTCCCCGTTGGGGTGCACCATGGTGTCAGGCGCTCAGCTATTTCCCAGCCTGGCATGCATGTGTTTGATGTATGACTTTTGCAGGGTTCGTTTGCATCGCTACGTGCCGTCCTTGATGCCGATCACACGTGTTCACGCTCGAGCCATCTACGACTCACGCGGCAATCCGACCGTCGAGGTGGATCTGCATACCGAGAAAGGTATGCCCTCTTACTACTACCACATGCACATGCCCAACCGCAAGTACCCTGCATCAGCATGTTACCCCAAAATCAACTGTGTAACGGAAGGAAGCTGGAGATGGGGTCGGGCCTGTCTGGCGAGGGGAGTGTGACACCAAGTAAAATTTATTTATTAGATCAATATCAAAGAAAATCAAAAAAAAAAAAAAAACGACTAGCCAGAAGTCGCCTGGCAGCAGCTCCAAGCTGCCACCCGCCACACACGAAAAGATTTACAAGCGGCAGCAGCTCCAGGCTGCCGCCGCACACATTCAGCAGCCGCCCAAAAAAACGGTAATTACACACTCCACATTTCATTTTCAATCATCACATTAAATATCACGGAGGGGGGAACTCGAGCCAAGAGACGGGGCGTTTACATATTACAGGAAACCGAAGGGCAACTTGAAAAGGCGAAGGGTATGAGCCTCCAACTTTGCTTCCTTGTTTCTTGCTCCTTTTTTTCCCTTTGCAACAACTAATCTGGCTGAGAAATTGTCTGAAAATTGTCCTGGGCGGTGGTCAGCAAAGTCTCATCCCCTTTAAGGTCATTGCGGAAGCTGATGAACATATTTCTCAACATTTGAGTGTTGTTGTTGCACCTGCCAAACCAGCAGTTCTTTATTCAAGGCAAAAAAAACTCAAAACACACAGTAGTACCGGCCTCCATATAGACGTCAATAACTCGACACATCAATCGGCAGAAACACTAATGCACAAAACACGGCGCCTCTCAGCTGCGCTGCGGCTGCTGCGCTGTCTTCCCTGGGGCAACCCATGTGTGACGTTGTTGCACACCGCTACCCAGTGCAATACTGATATCTCACTGGTCGATCCTGATTTGTATAGGCAGATCATGTGGCGAGTGCTTGCCTGCTAAATCATATATGATTATAACAATGTTGCGTGTGCTAGCGCTGCTACAGCCAGCAAAAACGCATATTGTCGAGAGGCTGTGTGTATGTGTGTTTGCGTGTGTGTGTGCGGGAAGCGAGTGCATTTTGTCACCCACTTTCATCTCAGCAACCAGGGAAGCTGGGAAGCTGAAACTTTGGGCACATGTTCCTACCCCATGTGTCGTCCTCCCGTTTTAAGATCTTTTCCCATACGCGCCTAGATCCCGCGTACGGGCCCCCCAAAGAAATTTGTTGGCGGGAAACGATTTCGCGAGCCAGGCAACGTAGGAAGCTGAAACCTTGCAGGGATATTCTCTGTGTACGTGCGAGATAAAAGTTTTAAACTCAGCTCTCTAGCTCCCCAACCACAGCCTCAAGCAACTCCTGATCCTGCCAATAGCGCATGATCGCACCGGAGAGTCTGATGCGTTCCAGCCTGGGTTAAGTATTCACAGAGGAACACAGCAGGATACAGAAGTTACAAAGACAGTCCAAGCTTCATTATAACACTCATTAACACAATCAAACGCACGATCTTCAAACAGTCTAAGACCAAGAATGCCCGAGCTATTAATTATGGTAGCCCTCTGTTAGAGATGTTGCCGGGGTGTTGCAATTCGACGAACATGTCTGTGCCAGGTCCTTCGATCCTAAATTATATATTACCAGCCAGTACCCACTGCCTGTTCAGTGCATGTACTCCTCCTTTGCGGGGTTCCCTCGTATCATGTATGCATATTATATGTCTACTGATTTGTTGCTGTAGCACACAGATATGCGTTGGGTTAACAACGAATATACGGCAAAAAAAAAAAGATAAAAGGCCCCACACCGATGGCAAACAACGTAACACCACTTAGGTTCGTATGGAGCAATCTTACGTAATATTACTTTTATCGAAAAAGATTTTTTGACTGGAAAATATTTTTTTTTCAAAAAATTCTTTGAATGATGCATCACAAATTTAGTGTTTATAAACACCACTGACCCCTCGATCGGGCTTATTACTACCACTGGTGGCAAAATTTGGAAGAGACAAAAACCCCGTAGCCATAATTTTTTGAAATGAAAGTGAGACGAGAAATGGGGAGAGAAGGGGTCACACGCAGACACACACACACGGACACATACAGACAACCTCTCGTCAATATGCGTTTTTCGCATTGCATAGCTGCAAAAAACGCATAAGGTGTGAAGTTTGGGGAGCCGGAGCTTTTATACCCCAGGGGACAGAGATTAGTAAGATAGCGAAACTTTAACGAGAGTAGAGTGTCCAAAATTTGAATCAGGAACTAGGGTATTGCATCATAGTGACGCAGTTGTTCTTTAACCTATTTCTAACAAAAACTATCAGTCATTATTTATTCTATTATAGAAAATTAGTGCATCGATACTGGACCATTACATTGGTGGTAGGGTGAATTTCAGGGATCTTCCGGGCGGCGGTACCGAGTGGCGCATCGACAGGTGTACATGAGGCGTTGGAGCTGCGCGACCAGGACAAGGCCGTGCACCATGGCAAGGGTGTGCTGCAGGCTGTCAAGAATGTCAACGAACAGATCGGACCCGCGCTTGTCGCTAAAGTTAGTCTTTGTAAAAACTCGCATTTCTTCCCAGTGTTTTTGTTTCACGG